GGTCTTCACATGATTGTTCATATCTTTTTATCCCCCAATGTTCATTCAATCAATCCAGTTATGGCAGTTTTTTTTAAATGATCTTTTTCTTTGAAAAAGGGCAATCGGTTATGTTATGTTGGAACCACTCATGAAAGCAAAAGTGGAATCCCATGCACATCGAATGGCTAAAAAAACAAGATAAGGTTGATATATAAAGTTTCAAACAAATAATTCTAACCACGACCTTAAAAATTTTTGAGTCAAGGATGGTCTGTTTTTAACTGAATCAGAAAGAAGATTAGTCGATATACGTATAAATTGGGCCGAACATCTAACCGTTGACAGAATAAAAAAAACGTAGTTGCAAAACATCCAAATGGTGGCGTCTTTTAATGCATGATGGATTAGCCGTCTTACGAATTGTTCCATGCGACAGTTTATCTGCCGTGGTTATTTTTGCTTTCTTATATTAATGGGATAGTTGTATTAATTAGGGGCTACAACTCGAGATAGTTTATTCACTTTCATTGTCAATAAAAAATCAGGTTTCCCGAAGCAATTCTTGTAACTTTGGTTATATATATGTTTCTCTTTCAATTAACTGGTTCACCGATGACAATTTGTCATCTTCAAACGTTGACAACAGAAAACTGCAAGCAACTTGTTCTTTGATTGATATTTAAAGAATGGGACCGCTCATTTTGGCTTGTAGGTTCCTTGCTTATTCCCGGCCGCCGCCTGCATGACACCCATTGTTTGTCCGTCCTTTGTCATAGTTGTCGTAATCATTTCACAGAGAAGGGGCTACCTGCAGTCCAGCCTTTGTGTTTGAGCAATCTCAATTTGCAAGCCTGTCCTTCCCGCTTCAGCATCATGATCTGGTTTAGGGTAGAGAGCAAGGACGGGCTAGGATTTTGGTTTATCTCGGGTTAAGCTAAGTATTTTTTTATTTTTTTTATTATATTTTTTTAAAAGTGAAAATTTTGACTTCTTCAAGTCAAATGTTCAAGCCCCCTTCCCCCTCTTAAAAAACAAAGTTGTATAGAGTGTATATATGCGTGGGATATATAACATCGATTACCAATGGTAAATAATAATTAAAAAAAAATTGTTTTTTTTTTGTGGTTGCATCATTGCCGTCATAAATATATCTTCTATTTTTTACGATGGCCAAATGTAATATTTAAGGCAGCACTTTTGCCGCCGTAATAAAAGCAAAAATGTCAAATTTTTTGTGACAACTTATTTACGACAGGATTTGGTTGTCGTAAATATTATTGAAACAGATCGTTGCTGCTGTAAAAAATTTTTGAGACTACACTTATTATGATGAGTCAATGCTAACCTTTTATGACAACATTGTATTACTGTGAAAAACCCTTTTTTCTTGTAGTGTCGTCGCAACCACCACGTCATCACCCCCACCCATCATCGAGTTTCACATCAAATTAATCTAATTATTATTATTATTCGTATTCTAAATTCATGTCAACAATTAGTCAATTTTAACTTATTATAGTTATGTGTTAGCTCGGTGTTCGTTATTTTTTCATACAAAAAATAGCTAATGGACCCAATATCAAGGAACAAACTCTGTTGTTAATGGATCAACTACAAAAATTTCAAAGACTTGGCACCGTCGCAAGGGTCCCGGTGAATACTCGTCGTGGTTAAAAGTTTCAAACACAAGCCGAAATTGAAGCCTTACATCTTGCCGTAATATAAATAGCTTATTACTTTTTTTTTTTTGAAGTGAAAAGGGAGGGCCGATAAGTAGATAGTAATCTCTTCTGGACGTGACCAAAAGAATCTATATTATGAAATGTTCAGTTTGAGTTATAGCTACTATTCCAAGAGAGCAGTCCGTCATCACAACACTATTAAAGTCAAGCAGCAAATTGTATTATTCCTATAAATCGGACCTTACTTGATAACCACCTTAGATTTCAGAACAACTCTAAGGGTGTGTTTATTTGGGGGATTAGTATTTATGAGATTGACTAATATACTTCATTTACTTTCAATACGGATGGAAGGTAATATTGGGCATAAAAATTAAGACAATCTTATCTAATATTTATTTGAGCAATATGTTTTATTGTGGGCTTACTAAAAAAATATCTATTATGTCACGTCTCTTTTTACAAATAAACTCATTTACCCTTAATACCATCATTCCATTAACATGAGAGGGTTATAATCATAAATTTGAGTCTTATACTGTCGGTTGTCCAAATCCCTCCAATTAATTAAAGTCATCTACATGGGATTAATGGTACTGTAGCTATCGGGTCAGTAATGAGATTTAAAAATTACTACCACACACAAAACACAAACAAACAAAGTATTAATAGGCGTCACATATTATTTCACCCAATTCCACCCCCTTATACCATTATTATACTGCAAATAAACACACCCTAAATAAGTACGACTTATTATTAGACCACCGGCTTGAGTGGTAATAACTTATTACATCACTGTGCAAGCTTTGGTTAGCTGTTTGCAGTTGGCTCCCATCACCTTGTTCCCCCTTCCAAGCAACTGTCCGGATCATTCCCAATCTTGACCTAACTGGTTGAAACTTAAAATAGAAGATAGAAAATTGGGGGTCTGTTTGGTTTGTGTTTCGAAAATAATTTTTGAGAAGAATTTTAAGAAAGTAATTTTGATATTTTTTGAGATAAAAAATTTGTTTGGTTAGATGATTTCAAAAACCATTTTATAGTATAAAAAATAGTAAAACCTATTTAGACAGCCTAAACATATGTTTGAACAGTAATTCAAACATTAATAAAAAAATATAAGAAAGTTATTTTTAAATTGACAATTTCATAATTAAAAAAATTCAATAAATCAAACTTTAATATATATATATATATATATATATATATATATATATATATATATACACCCATATCTGAAGATCCAGTGTTTTCAGATCTGAGATTTGTGCTTCGGCGCTCCAGCGTCTTCAGATCTGAAGAAGAGACAGAGTGAGGAAGAAGAAAAAAAAAAGAATGAAGAAATTTGCTGCTAAGGGAACTCGAAAGGCAAACCTCATTAAAGTCCAAAATTGTTCTCCTTATTTCCAAAATTTTCAAAGAAACTTTGAAAACAAGCTATACTTGTTTTTTATTTCTTTGACTCAAATCTCATTTTTTTCCAAAATTTTGAGAATAAAAATACTAAACAAACAAATTTTAGGTGTTTTTAAAATTTTAAGAATAAAAAACTGTTTTCGAATCACAAACTAAACATGGCCTGAGATTCTTTCTTTTACCTCAATTATAGTCACCACCATTGAAATTTACCCCCAATAACTTTGAAATATTCTCAAACAAGCATAATTATTTTGCATCCCATTTGATTTTGGTTGGAACTCATGTGAGAATCCCTTATCGAATAGGAAAAAAATTTAAAAAGTCCTAATATTTTTTGAATAAGTTTATTAATGACCAAATTAAATAGAAAACAAATTAAAAGATTTCTAATATATTTTGAATAGGTGTATCATAATAGGAACACATGAGATCAAGTTGTATTTGAATATGTTTGGGTAATAATATTTTATTCTTATAAATAAATCTAAGTTTTATATTATCAATTACTAGATGATCAATTTTTCAATAAATCATCTATTGATGCAACTATTCCGTACATAGACGTACGTATGATGTGTACGACAAAGGTACGCTTTATTAGATTATGTTATCTTTTTTATGTTTAATTTTATTATATTTTATTTTAAATTTTTATCTTTCCATAAACTTTATGTTAATTTTTAAAACGTTGTTGACAAAGTAGTACAAGATGATTTTTCGTATTTTAAGGTTGTCTCTTCGTTATTACGAAAGACAGTTGTAATGAACTCTTCTCTGGCCAAACTAGAAGGCTCAAATTAATGTTGATGCTTACGTTGATTTTTTTTCAAACATGGCTGGTTTGAACTCTTCAATCCGGTCATTGTACTTATAAATATGTCCACTTGCACCAAATTAAAAAGAGCCACTGGAAACTTAATTTGTCATTTTAGGCCAATCAGATGAGGAAGCAACTCTGACGGGTGTTAGAAAATGGAGTAAACTTAAGTGCATGGGTCTACAAGTCTATTCCTCAGAACAGTGTAGTGGAAGCATCTATCTACATATCAACATATTTATTAAATTAATATGATCCATTTGAATTTGTCAGAAAATAATCACCACGAAACCTTTAACGTACCGTCCTTTTGTCCTAAGAGACGACGGCGCTGACGCGAATCAGGACTTGCCCAAGTCATTATATTGTTTTGGTTTACTAATTTAAGGTTAATTATAGTGGTGTCCTTAAAATATAAAGTTTATCTTATTTTAATATTTAATATTTTAATTGTATTATTTTTGTTTATGAAATATTGAATATATTTTTATATGATTCTTCAAACAGACAATATTCAAATTTTTAATTATTTTTTATCATAAATTTGTCAAGTGATACTTAAATATGAACAAAAAAATAATTTTGGATAATTCTTGACCAAATTTTTACTTATATTTTGGTTAAGTAGCCACTTAAATTACACAATTTTGATCGAAAACTATTCAAATTTTGATCAAAAATTACCAATATTATACATTTTTTTTTGTCAAGAGCTATCCAAATTTTGTTTAAAAACGATTAAAATTATTTTTTTTACTTATATTTAGGTATTATGTGACAAGTTAATGAAAAAAAATTGTTAGAAATCTATACGTCGTCTCCTTGAAAGACTATATAAAAAAATATTCAATAATTTAAAAATTAAGATAATGTAATTGAAACATTGAGTATTAAAATAAAACAAATATCTTTAGACCTCTTTTTCAATTATCTCCCTTATCTATTTTCCACGACCCATGCACTTTCACCTTCTGATATCGCAAACTCTCTCTCTCTCTCTCTCTCTCTCTCTCTCTCTCTCTCTCTCTCTCTCTCTCTCTCTCAGAGTTAACCAAAAGGAAAGGAGACTGTGAATCATCCTTTCCAATCTCAAAACAATGGTAGAAGAGAGTCAAGCCATTCCCTTAGCGCCTGCCCAAATCCATCCCAGAAGCGATGAAGAGTTCGCGATGACAAAGCCCTATAATACCCACCACCAACGAAGCAGCAAATGCTTTGTCTACACCCTCGCCGCAGTTGTCTTTCTAAGCATGGTTTTACTAATTTTTGCATCAGTAGTGTTACGTGTCGATACTCCTAACGTCGAGATCAGGTCCGCCTGGATGGAAAATCTCCGGTATGGCACGTCACCTTCGCTTTCATTGAATTTGACTCTGATTTCCGAGGTCGCAGTTGATAACAAAAACTTTGGTCGGTTCAAGCTTGAGAAGAGCAGCAAGGCAAGTTTGTTACATGGGAACGAAACAGTTGGAGATACAGAAATTAATGTGTTGGGTGTTAGAGCGAGAGAGACAAAAAGAGTTAATGTGACAGTGCAAGTGAGGGCAAATGGTTTGTGGGACAGTATGAATTTCAGCAGAGAGATTGATTCAGGGTTGGTGAAGCTGAGCAGCTATGCTAAGTTGAGGGGTGAAGTGCTTGTAATGAAGAAGCTTAAGAGGCGCAAGACAGCAATAATGAATTGTACCATGACCCTTAATTTGACAAGCCAAGCAATTCACAATCTGCTGTGCAAGTGATTTTGATTGTTCTTTTTGCAATTTTCTCTTGGATTTTTCATACCATTTTTGTCAATCCCCAACCTTTTTTTTTAGCATTTAAGATTCATCTCGAGTTGTATTCTATGATCTATCTTTCTTGTGTGAAGTGTAGGACCATATATATAGGTATCTTATTATTGAGGTCTTCACATGATTGTTCAAATCTTTTTATCCCCCAATGTTCATTCAATCAATCCAGTGGTGGCGACGGCCGCGACCGTGGTGATGGCAACGGCGGCAGTGGTGGCGGTAGTTGGGGCGACGATGGTGGTGGCAACAAAGGTGGCGACGATGATGGTGGGGTGGCGGTGGTGATAGAGGTAGTGGTGGTGGGGGGTGGGGGTAGCAGTAGTGGTAGGACAATTTTAAATACTATTTTTTAAAAAAATACTTATGAAAAATAATTTTTATAAGTAATTTTAAAAAGTTACTCTAAACACACTTTTAGGTGTCTATTTTTTCTATTAAATTTTGGGTAGTAATATTAGCCGTTAAATTAAATTTAAAATAAAATTTAAAGTGATCTAAATCGCAAAAAGTAAAAGTCATTTTATTTAACTTTTAAAATTTGAATTGTTAACTACTTTATTATATAAACTAGTTATTACATGTGTCTGAAGTCAAAGAGTAATAAAAAATGATAAACAATAAATATATTTGTATTCATATCCAAAATCAATTCACAAACATAAAGAAAAGATAATAGAATTTAATGATCAATTTGTAGTAGGAGTGAGAGGTGGTGGGCGGCAGTAGAGATGGTAGGAGACGGTAATGGTTATGGTGGGTGACAATTACTGTAGTGGCGGTAAGGGAGGAGACAATAGTGGTGGTGGTGGCAGCGATAGCAGTGGTGGTGGTGGCGGTGGCGACAGTGACAGTGGCAGCGATGGTGATGGTGTGGCGGTGGTGGTGCTGGTGGTAGTGGCGGTGGTGGTGGGGGTAGCTGTGGCAGTGCTGGTGTTGGTGATGATGGTAGTTGTGCTAGTGGAGGTGGTGGTGGTGGTGACAACAACCGTGGTAGTGGTGGCAACAACGATGATGGTGGTGGCGGTTGCAGCGGTGGTGGTGGTGGTGGCAATGATGGTGGGGGCGGCAGTGATGGTGATGGTGGTGGTGGTGGTGGTGGTGGTAGTAGTAGTGATAGTGGTGACGGTGATGGGGGTGGTAATGGTGGCGATGACGATTATGGTGGTGGCGGTGGCGGTGGCGACAGCAATGACAATGGTGGAGGTGACGGCGATGGTGGTGTTAAAGGTAGTGGTAGGATGATTTCGATCACTATTTTTCTTAAAATGTTTATGAGAAATAATATTTAAAATTATTTTTAAAAAGTCACTACAAACATATCCTTAAGAACTTATTTTTTCTATTAAATTTAGAGTGTTAATTTTAACCGTTAGATTAACTTTAAAGTAAAATTTAATATGATCTCAACCGCAAATAACAAAAATTATTTTATTTATCTTTTGAAATTTAAATTGTAAACTACTTTATATTTCTCTTTCAATTAAGTGGTTCACCAATGACAATTTGTCATCTTCAAACGTTGATGAAAAACCAAAAGCAACATGACAGCAGAAAACTACAAGCAACTTGTTCTTTGATTGATATTTAAAGAATGGGACCGCTCATTTTGGCTTGTAGGTTCTGGGAAGGCAATATTGAAACCTTGCTAATTCCCGGCTGCCGCCGGCAAGATATCCATTGTTTGTCCGTCCTTTGTCTGAGTTGTCGTTCATTTCATAGAGAAGGGGCTACCTGCGGCCCAGCCTTTGTGTGTGAGCAATCTCAGTATGCAAGCCTGTCCTTCAAGCTTCAGCATCATGATCTGGTTTAGGGCAGAGAGTTCTTTTTGTGCTACACCACAGTTTATCTTTCTGTAATAGAGTTTGTGTCATATTGTTGGGTTTCGGTTTTATCGTTTCAAATTTGTATTGAGTACCGATCAATTGTATCAAACATCTTTGACACAGATTCGATATGTTTATTAACCATATTGTGATCGAGTTATCCCTCAACTGAAATTACAAGTCCAGGACCAATTTCTCGATCTGCCGAAAAAGTCTACCACCCATGGAGGCACATAAATTAAAACTCGACTTAGAGTTTTATGCTAGTAAGGCCATGTAAGAAAGAAAAAAATAGATATCAATTCATAATAAAGCAATTAGACGAGTTTATTCATGTCCGATATTAATAAAACCTATTTATTATTCGTGTTATTAAGTCGTATCAGCTTAAGTTCAAATTTAAAATTGGCGAATCTTAATCCTTGAATTCATATCGTGTTGACTTGGTCAAATCTAAAATTGCCAACACAACCCCTTTGTTTTCTCAACCCCTATCATTTTGTGGGCAACAGTCAAGCATGTTTAATTTGTTCGTTCCCATCTGTACTTACCCAATACCAGGATCTGCTTCCTGTTTCTCTGCAACGGCCAATCCCTTTCTCTTTGATGTTATTTGGCATTTCGATGCTATTTCTCTATTTTCGGCTGACCCATTTGTCTTTGGGCCCCCCAAGACCCCTTTCTCTGTGTTCGGTTTCAAACTCGAGTTCAATCACTTGTTTAGGATGAGTATCAGGTTACCATGATATCGCACACATCATCACATTAGAAAAGTAACAATTAGTAACATCATGCATCCCTAATTCCATCCAAAATGCAAAGCATTTCCAATCTGTATAACATGTAACATATAGTCGTATTCTCGAGCTTAACGAGTTATATAAGTCATTTTTCCGGCTTGACTCGTTCTGAAATTGTGTTAAACTTTGTCTCAATTTCGTGTTCGTTTTATGAGTCAACGGATTTTAGCTCGACTTGATACTAAAGCTCCTTTCGATACGATGAAAAATAAAATGATGGAAAATGAAGTAATAGATAAAAATATCATATTTGGTAAAGAAGGAAAATATGAAGGATAAAAAAGTGAATGAATAAGCTTTTCTTCCAACTCACCAAAATTAATTCTTCCAAAATTAAAAGTAAAGTGAATGAAAAATTAATTATTTGTATTAAAATGTATTTTATTTATTTATATATCCTTTGATATATACATACTAGTTATAACTTATGTCTGAAGACACAATGAAATATAAAATTTGAGCGTCCAAAAAATTGATCTCACTATATTAAATAATAATTTTTCTTTTCTTCATTTATTTGATTACATCATTTAAAATTTATCTTTACCCATTATTTTTTAAAAAAATATTGACAAAAATATGTAATTCGATAAATTTTCTCAACATGTGTATACTATTGTGTATGAATAATATCTGAAATAAAAATTATGTAAACTACAAATTAATCAAATATTAAATAATGTGATAAAAATAGGTGATGAGATGATATTGGAGGAAAAAATATGTATATGGGATAAAATTTCAAACACTTAACTATTTTATTATATAAATATTATGTATATACTAATTTCATATATAAATACAATAATAAAATATGCATTTATATTTTTTAAAAAAATTAAAAATAAAAATTTAAAAAAAATTAAAAAATAAATCATCTTGCCAAGCACAAAAAAAAAAATTAATCATTTTTATTTTCTATTCATCCTACTAAACACAAAGAAGGGTATATACTGTATCATTCTTATTTTTCTTCCCTGAAAGATAGAAAATATATCATTCATACTTTCTATCCCTCCAACTTTCCACCTTTCCTACCAAACGAAACAAAAAAATTTAAAGAAGAAAAAAAAGTTCATTCATTCGTATGAATGCGTTTGGCGTATTTTTAGATTGTGGACATGTTAAAGTTCAATCGGACTTAAGATTCAAATACGTACGATCTTACTTACTTGAACCGGTGTAAGGTTCTAAATTCATAGCTGTTTAGGCAATTGTAGAGAGACAAAAGGTTACCTCTAAGTTTTTTTCTATGTCTTAAAGTTCAAAGGATTTTAAATAATTTTTCAATTAACAGAGTAATGGACTGAAACGTAGAAAAAAATTGGAATGCGAAGCAACAAACAAACTATTTTTGGAAAATGAATTGAATATCAAGCTTAATATTAAATGAAAATAATAAAGATCCCTAGAGTGATGAATTACAGACGAGAGAGAGAGAGAGAGAGTAGTTGTTGGGAAATAAGAAACAAGCGAAGAGAATCTGACTTTATGTAGAATTTGTTGTGTTTGATCATGAATTTTTTTTTTTGGTTGCTTTACTCTGATTATTTATAGGAATGATTTTTAACCGTCAAAGTCATCTTTTTCAACCATAACTATAATCATGGCCTTTTCCTCGACACATACAAACGTGCACTAGACCTAGTTTTTTTTCTTGCAGTGTCTAACTAACGGATCTTGATATCACCTCTCCCCACTATTCAGAATTCTCAAAGTCTCTTCTATTTAATCGCTCTGTTTAGTATGAGCCTTCATAAATTCTTTCATAACCATTGAATCTCCTCCGTGTGTCACCTTCAACTTTTCCTTTTTTTTTGTGTGAACAGAATGGAGCACGGTCCGGTTGAACGGCATATATCCATACATACCTTGGCAGATATTCATTACATTTATTGTTTCCGCAAATCAATTATAATCCACATCATAAAATCTTAGAACAAAGTAGAAGATTATATAAATTTTTGTCCAGTTTCCTAGCAAACTTTTGTGAAACTTTGTCCCAAATTCCCATCTAAATATTCAAAGCCGTCCAACGAGTTAGGACAAACTACTTTTTTTAAAAAAAATATGTGCGTTTAGGACAAACCACTAGACTCCATGCATTTATAAGGTCAGACTACAAAGCAATGTAATCCCATATTGCTTACCACCAAACAAACTACGACCACACCCCCCCCCAAAAAAAAAAAAAAAAACAAAAACACTTCACAGCCATGGCAGAGAAAGAACAAGTCAAGGCCTTAGCCCCGACACGGAACCGGATCTACGTTGATGACGATGAAGCCATATCCATGGAGTTGAAGGATTACCACCGCGATCAGAAATGTATCAATTGCTGTGGCTGCTTCGCTGCAATACTGTTAATTCTAGCCGTGACCATATTAGTCCTCATTTTCACTGTTTTCTACATCAAAGACCCGAAAATGAAAATAAATTCTATGAAGATTGAAGGGTTGGATCGTGTCAACATGACTAATCTTCGTTCAGATGAAAACTTAACCGTTTTAGCTGAAGTTTCTGTGAAGAACCCTAATGTGGCTTCCTTCAAATTCAGTAATGTCACAACAAGTCTTTACTACGAAGATCAAATCATCGGTGTGGCTACGACTCCCCGGGGCTTGCCAGGGCTAGACGGACGATTCGAATTAACGTTACACTTGAAGTTATTGTTGAAAACATATTGGAAGCTGTTCCGAAAATTGGGATTGCTTTGAGTTCTGGGGCGTTGCCTGTGAGGAGCTACACTAGCATCAGTGGTCGAGTGCAGATACTAGAGATCTTTAAGAAAAATGTTGTGATGAAAATGAATTGCACCATGATTGTTAATTTGATAAGCCAGGAGGTTCAAGATCAGAACTGCAAGCGTCGCATTTCGCACTGAGTCTGTATTTTTTTTAGGGTTTAATTCAAAATTTCAAGAAGTGCAACAGTAAGGTAGTATGAACTGATTGCATTTTTTTTTTTTTTTTTTATCTTAGACTGCTATAAAGAGCAGTACCAATCCGTATGGACTAATAAGATGAGTTCTAGTCTTCTACATAAATCATTTTGTTTTGTTTTTTTAATAGAGTTCTCATTACAGACTTTCTCGTGCTTGTTGTGAAGAAATTAAGATCAGCAAAATTGAAATGCAGAACCAGTTTTTCAGCTTAACCATGTGTTCTTCTATGGTTTAATTTGGGTTGTATTAACGAATCAAGCTACTCAAGCTGATTTTGGATTTGATTTTGGTTCATATTGGAAAATGACCTATATGATACAATTAATTTTTTAAGCTTCATTTAAAAATATTCAAGCTGAGTTAGAGCAATATGTTATTCGGTTTGAAAGGCATGAACTCTTTTCATTTACAACAAAATATAGGTGTTTTATTGATAATTAGATGTTTGGCTTCTAATCAAATATCATGAGTTATAATTTTATTAGACATGTTTTTCAGTTTTCCTCAACCCTAAAGTCGAATTTGAACTTTTGATATAAAAACGAGTTGAGTTGAATTGAGTCGAATATGAGTGAAAATCTAAATCCGACAATATATCTCACGTCAATCTTATGTTTGTGATAATCAAGCTGAGCCGAATATATATGAATATACCAACTTAAAAGGATCTGTTCGACTAACCCCAAGGGTTAAGGTCAAGAATAGAAAGATACTAATTCTAACTTTGTCGTATTGTTTGGAGTTGTGGTCTTTGCCTGGTCATGGGGTTCCAACTTCCAACGAAAGTTTCAACGCCTAACTTCACATTGAGAGTGAAACAGACGTGGAAATACAAAGACTTCTATTTCACCGCTTGGTAATTTTATGAGTAGACAGACCAAGCTACCCAACCTCTTCAAGGCTACTAGGCCACAATATGTGAGAATCACACATACGTCCTAATATTCCTTGAATATGTTTATGAGTGACCAAATTAAATAGAAAATAAATTGATAAAGTTTTAATATACCATAAATAAATATATTAGATATGAGATTGAAAACATAGAGATCAAGTTGCATTTAAATAGGGTTTTATTGGTTTTTTGGTCCATGGTAACCAACAAAGGGAAAGCCACTTATTTTCTTTTGGTCAGAGTGACTTTGGACTCATCTTGCACATCCTTAGAAGAGTAAATTTCGAATATTTGCAGTCATTCGTACGAGTTATAACCAGAAAACACTAGCAAGGATTAAACTTTTGACGTTTAAATTTATAATTTATCTAAATCTAACCTCACACCACTAAGATATCCATAAAAGTTATTACCAATCTATTACTTTTGGCAATGGCCATTGCAAATATTTTGCTAACGACTTGGTCAAGAGGACAATGACAACCAACGACCATTCTATAAGAATAGATGTCGATTTTTGAAGGTTTTCCAAGGAAATAACGTGATTCAAACAAGTGTATATATAATCCAATTCGTGGAACTATAATATCCCGTTAGACCCCACTTTAGAAAACGCACAATCAAACAAAGAAGGAAACAGTCAATTAACGTTTTCTAATTCGAGTAGAAAGAGTCTGAGTCTTTTGGTAATTTTTTTAAATTATTTGTGGAGAAAATACTGAATTAAACTATTACATCACGTTATCATCATCACATAGTATAATATATCAGTTATGAATAATCATATAATATTAGTGGATCTCACCAAATTGTATAGGTACAAATAACTTATACATTTAAATTTATCATATAGGTTTAATAAAATTTACTTATCATATTTATTTAGTTATGATTAATCAATTATACCACGTAACCGTAATGAACCTGTCTATCCGTTACATTAAATATTTACTGGTAGGCAAATAGAAGTCAGGTCGTAGGAATTCTGAGGTTGAATTCCAAGAGCCCAGACCCACTGAAATCCAACACACTTGGATATTTTCAACCCTTAACCAGTTTGAAAATCTAGCTCATAGTCTTGGGGCTTGTTTGGATAAATTTTGGGGAGAGATTTGGATTGATTTTTCTAAATTCTTTTAAACCCAAACTCTTCCTTGGAAAGATAAAGTTCAACATTTAATCTGGTTTATACTCATATTTAGTATGCAACACATACATATGTAGGATTCACGGATATAACATAATTATTAACAATTATTTGTCTTATAAATGACTATTTTATCTTTGATCAATTTAATTTATATCCATGCTAAGGGGTACAATTGTCTTTTAAATTCTTAACCCTTACCCATCTTCCTAAACCCACCCCCGCCTAAGTTTGTTGATACTTATGATCATGAGTTTAATTTTCGAGCCAGTTACGGGTCGGGTTTAAAAATCCAGCATTGAATTTTCTATACAAACATACGATTTGGGGGAGCTTTAGATTATTTTTCCCCAAACCCATTTTGCCAACCCCCCATACCCCCTACGAAGCAGCCCCCTAATGGATTGGTCTCCACGAATTCAATATATTATTACGAGGATTTACTACCCAAAAACTTGGACAATTTACTAACTGTCGGTGCTAATTGAGATGGGACTTTTTTTTTTTTTGGTTCAACAATCAAAGTTATTCAGGTCAGTTTACACCTAGTTTAACTAATTCTCTTTCTCATTTGGTCAAAAATAGGACAGTCACTTCGGGACTAACGTATTCATCAGATATAAACTCCTCATGGCTTAACCCCCAAAAAATTACTAAAGTTCAAACTTAGGATGTCTGAGTATACAACTCATTCAAACTTCAGTTACCAGCCTAAACTGTAATTTCGAAATTTGGCATGTGTATCCTTGGCTCAAATTGACTATTACTGCCTCAGCTTCGATTGTTGAGCGTAGATCCTTGTTTTTATTTTTAAAACTATTTCAAGCCGGTGATCAAGACACATTTACTTACTGACCCAACATCTACATACACATAATGAAAGCCCCAGAGAGCAAATAAGTCACAATCTACAACCAGCTAGCTTAGATCCATGTCCAATGGTTTCGGCACTATACTTCTACTGTAATTTTATTTTTCTATTATCCCTGCAATTTGGATCAAACTATAGTACTAAAAAATTATTTTTCAATACCGTATTTCTTATTTTCTACAAATAAAAGTATGGCTTGTTTAAATTCTATGTTTTATTATTTTCAAGATCAACTGTATTAACACAAAATCTAAGCCTTAGATCCTTTCTTTTTTGTAGTCTTACCCCTCAGTTTCTTTCCATGTCAGAAAAAATGGGCACCTTTCATCAATGATGAAAAATCCAACTACTTCTTTCTGATAGAAAGACCTAAAAAAAAAAAAAAAAAAAATTAAAGCTTGTAAGAACTTCATTCAATGGATATACAATGAATCTATTTGGGAGAAGGTTCCTGTCAAAGAATCATAGGGGCGAAGCTACTTGTGGCATTGTGGGGGCAGTTGCCGCCACTCAATCTTGAATATGAGAAAATTAAATTATGTCTTTGAAAATTTGTATAGTGACTTTACTTCATTTTCTTTTTCGGTAAGTTAGTGGTCTATTAGTCCCTTAACTTACTCGATCAAATATTTTATTTTTAGCCTAACTAATAAAACTTAACTCATATTTAATGAAGATAACATCTTGATTATTTAATACATTTCTCTTTACTTTAAAAATCACCGTATTATTGTCCATCGTTCTTTTTTTAAATAAGTGGCTCGTAACATAGTAATACACAAATTATTGCAACTAGTAAAATGTACCAATTCAAAAGTATTTAAGTCATTCCAAACGATCAATTTCCCCTCTACATTAAAATGAAAAATTTATTTCATGAAAACGATCAAATCATTCTTGAACTTTGATACAACGTTATTGTGTTGTATTTTAATATATTATTTTAAATATTAATTTGATGAATTTGATGAAATTAATATTAATTTATTGTTAAATTGATGAAATTTGTGTTATTGTAATGAAATTAATATTTAAATTAATGAAATTAAATATGTTAATTTGAAAAAATTGAGTATGAATTTGATGTTAATTTGATGAAAGTAATTTTAAATTAAATTGGGGTGTGTAGGATAATTGAGAAACCATAGAGAGTTAAAGGGTAAATAATATGGTTGAAACCTTAATGGGTAATTCAGTAAAATTACATTATATGTTTAGTCCGACATGATCTGACAAAGGGTGACAATGATATTTTAAAAATTATAAGGGGTGTTCTCTGTAATTAGGCCAATCTCAAGGAAGCCTCCATATAATTTACCCAGTATATATGTACCTTCAAGGTTTTATAATGTTTATTATTACCTTCCTAACTAACAAAATTAGAATTTTGAGTATTAAAGTACAACTAATGATAAATCTTAGAAGCTGTTAGTGTGATTTATCATAAAATTTTTCGAGCCCTCAATTTCACCTTACCACCTTTAAGGTTTTTCACATATTTATCATCACCCTTTTAGTTCTATAATTTTCCAACAATGTCCTAATTTTATCACTGATGCTTTTCACAATGTCCCTCTAATAACAAATTTTGCTTCTTTTTTTGGGATTAAAAACAGGCATTTTCTATATATCCTATTACACTTTTTAGTATCATGTTTGGGTAGTAATTTCCCAATCTTCTCACTCTTGATTTATTCTTTCATTTCAATCATCAGTGCCATGCAATATTCCCTATTATGCCCCATTATTAGAGTCTCTCTTTTACAAACTTTCAAGTTTTTCACCAAACCCATTCGGTCAAAATTTTAATTTTCAAACCAATCACTTTCAAATTTATTTTCCAAACTCAGTTATTTTAAGATAAAAAATATCCTTTTAAAGTGACGGTATACAAAAGCAATGCACCCAGCAATTTTTACCCTATCTTCTTTATGCACTTGTTAAATATTGCGGCATGATTGCAATGCTGCTGTGAATCAAAATTCAAAGAAAAAAATTCAATTTTCAATTTAAATTCTGACATCAAA